TCCATCCTGCGCATACCCAGTCTCTCCTTTTATTGCATTGGCCTGAACCTCTCCCTGAGTTCCACAGTCTCACCACTCTGTGGGTAAAGGCGTTTCGCCTGAACTCCTGACTGGATTTATCGTCAGCCTTTTAGCTTGTCTGCCCCTAGTTTTCAACTCGCCTCAAATGGGAACACCCCCTCAACGCTCACCCTGTGGAACACCTGCACAATTCGGACAAGATCCAACCTCTTCTCAGCTTTATTCATTCTTTCAAAATTGACACCAGCCCCCTTCTACAGATTGGAGATCACAGGTAGTGGAGATAAATCAGAGAATGTGTACGTCAATACTCATTTTTGGGGTTGGGGGTGGGGGGTGAATCAATGATCCAAATTCCCTATGTTCCCTGTAGCCTTTGCCCCATATCCCTGAATAACTTTTGTTAACAATCTCAGATTTAAAATCAATAATTGTAAAAATGAGTTGGAAACCTCTAAATTCACTCATCTTTCTTGTTTTCTGCATGAAAACGGTACCTACACTTTTGAGAGTATTTCTTTTCATTGGCTTTGTAACATGTTGCAATACCCAGTGATCATCAGAAGTGCTGTATGGATACGAGACTCTCTTTTAACCCTGAAAGACCGGGCTCCAATTTACAGAATCTGCTCCAATCTCTCTATCTACCTCATCATTTCTTGAAAACTTTGACTGCAATTAGTTCCACTAACATCACTGTAAAATCTGCCACTGAGGCCAAAATATTTTTCCTAATACGGTGCCCAAACTAAACATATGCTCTGACCAGGGCTTTGTATAGCTGAAGCGTAGCTTCAAGCCCCTTGTATTCTAGTTCCTTTATCCTCTTTAAATATTTCCTGTGGCCTATTGATGTCATTTTGAAAATCTGTGTACACTGTTTATGGCTTTGCAGGGTTTTCAAAGTATCCTGCTCCAAATGTTGTCATGTGTGCAATTATGGAAACTCAATTGTCCACCCACTTAATCTATTAATATCTTTCTAATTTTATGCCTCTGTTTACACTGCAAAATGCAGTGTATCTTTGTGCCAATGGAAAACATGATTAAATGGCTCCTAATCCCAACATCTAAATTGCTAATAAAATCCAGTGAACAGTGAAGCCACAACACAATTCTTGCAGGACAGGGGTAAGAGGATGATTGGGACGATCTAGGGGAAGTCAGATTCAAGGGAGTGACTTGACAGAACACCAGGAATGTCATGAGAGGGTCAGGAGGAGGAGGATCGAGATGGTCATCTGGGGTAGGTAGTGCCCTGTCACCTCAGGGTAATAGTTTGAGGATAGGAGTTTGAATCCCACCATGGATGTGGTCAGATTTGAATTGAATAAAAACCTGGAAGGAAAGGCTAGCCTAATGGTGACCCAGGTTGTTGTTGTAAAAGCCCATCTGGTTCCTGTTTTCTGCGTTTGTACATTTATTGCACCCTGTAAGAGATTGCAGCAGGCTACAAAAGGTTATTTTTCCAAGAGTACTTGGCTAAATGAGGGAAAGAGCAGAGTTGGAGTGTTCAACTCTCCAATCAACATTCCGAATCATTCCCTACCCTCCCACCTCCATAACTCTCTAAAACTACTAACCCAGAACTTCAGAGTCCAGGCATCCGTCACATTTTGAGATTGTGAATTCCATAGATGCACAAGTCTTTGGGAGAAGTAATTTCTCCTCAGCTCTGTGTAAATCCCACTGCTCTTTATCCTCAAGCTTGCATTCTGAGTTGCCCCACATAAGGAAACATCCTCTCCACATCTACTTTGTGTGTGTAACAGAACGAGGCCTATCAGGGTAAGATGGGGAAGGCTGTTGCACTGCAGTTAACTCTCCCGTGCTTACAGGCCTGTTGGAAGGATTTACAGATTGATAATCAGCCCATTTGACCATGCTATGGCCCAGTTTCTGTGCTGATTTTGTCCTGATGTATGAGATAGCGACACTATCTAATGCACCACATGGCCTTCTGTACTCCAAGAGATTTCATCACTGCCCTTTTACCTACACTCACCCCAGTGGTTAGCCTGCACCACCATCTTTGTAATGCAAATGATTAATTGTTAAATCCTTAATGGTTACCCCCCCACCGGGTTTCTGTTGACAGCAATACTCCTGAGATGAAGCTTCAATTCCTCAAGATGTCAAGACTAATCTCTCTCCACTTTCCTACAGACAGCTTTAAATGAATGATGCCTTTGTTACTGACTCCTTGAAATGGAGGGAATTCAGTCATTGCCTACTCCCTAGCAGGAACCTTTAAAAACCTGCATCTTTGCTGTCTCCTCTCTATTGCAAACAGCCTTAGTATCTTAGGTCATTCTGTTGACTGGAATTTCACATTCTCACCGCAATGCTTGTGAATTTATGCTGTGTGTTATCTGTGGTTTAAAAATCCTTCCTATAGCGAACCATCAAAAACTGATACATACTCTACTCCTGGTCTAGCCGCAGTTAGCTTTAACCCCTGGGTGTGGAATCAGCCTGACTTTTGTACCTTGCCCCATTTTGTTTGCTGCTGACTTCAATAAAACAGAAAATCAGGCATAGTAGGATATTCTAATAGTTTACCAAATCTGCAATGCTGCCAATATCGAATCCCTCACTAGGCTAAGAAAACACTTTGGTTTTTGTAATGACTTTGTAAACATGCACTCAAACCGCCTACAACTTATCTGTTGGCTACAACAAGAGTTACCCACTAACTTCCCATTCCTTGTTTTCTCTTCCCAGAATGCACTACCTCACTTCTTCATGGCGTTTGCCGCCTGTCTGCCCAGTCCCTGTCTATCCTCCTCTGAAGATATCTCCGGTCCTCCTTATCATTTCCTTGCCCTTGCAGACTCTAGCCCCGAGTCTCCTACTTTTGTTTCGTTGATAAATTTGGACATTATTTGGATGATGGATATGATTCTCCCCTCCCTGGGGGTGGAAAGAAGCCAAAGTAACAGGGTGTGTTCCTTCACAACACACCACTGTTTACATTCTGAGCGAGAAGGTCTATGGGGATCATTGTGACCCATCACCATTTAACTGTTTAATTAACAACCACTACTTCCCCACTCAGAGATGTCCTTTGTGGTTGCGAAAAGTGACTAGTTTCCAGGCTGGAAAACCAGGGCAACCTACCTGCTGGGTTGGCAGGCAGAGTCCCCTGGTGCCCAAGGCAGAGGCATGAATGGAGGCGAACATACAAACGAGGAAAAAAAGTAGGCACTCAGCCCTTCCAGCCTGCTCAGCCATTCAATAACATGATGACTGACTGTAACCTTAACTCTACATTCTTAAACACTCCCAATAATCTTCCGTCTCCTTGATAATCAAGACTTTATCTGTGGCTTCAAAAATAGTTGAAGGTTTTGCATGCATTGCTTTAAGAGGAAGGGAATTCCAAAGACTGACAACCCTCTGAGACAAAATATGTTTCCTCATCTCTGTTTTAAATGGGCGACGCCTTATTTTTAGGGGTGGCCACTGAAAACTAACCTACTGCCCTTTACTACAACAGTCACGTAAATCTCGTAGCTTGCATGACATGTATAACACATAATTACCATCTCACTGCTGGCTTCGCAAGGAGTAAGCCCCAACTGGAGAACTCTAGGACCCAGAAGCTGTCACCTGATTGGCTGGCAGCTTCTGGGATGCCAGTGCGAAGGGCTGTGATTGGCTGAGAAAGTCGCCCATCAGCTCTTAGTGGGTCGATTGGCCAGAGATGTGGCAGGTTCTCTTGTGGTGACATGGGGGTGGTTGCCAATGACGAGTCTCACCCACCCTCTTTCAAAACAAAATGGACAGCTTCTCCCCAGTGTCTTACACTCCAGAATCTCAATCCTCCATATTTCTTTGAAGTTTACATCACATGTAGACAGGGTGATTTAGAAGGCATTTAGCACGCTTGCCTTCATTGCTCAGACCTGGTGCTGGGATGTCATGTTGAGCTTGTACAGGGTGTTGGTGAGGCCTCTTCTGGAGTGCTGTGTGCAGTTCTGGTCACCCAGTTATAGGAAGGATATTATTAAGCTAGAGAGGGTTCAGAAGAGATTTACCAGGATGTTACTGGGAATTGAGTTATAAGGAGAGGCTGGATTGGTTTAGGGCTTTTTTTCACTGAAGTGTAAAAGGTTGAGGGCGGTGACCTTATAGGGGTTTATAGAATAATGCGGATAATAGATCAGGTGTATGGCAGGTGTTGTTTTCCCTAGGTTGGGGGATTTCAAGACTTGAGGGCATATTTTTAAGGTGAGAGGAGGAAGATTTAAGAAACACATGAGGGACATTTTTTTTTACACAGAGAGTGGTTTGTGTGTGGAATGAACTTCCACAGGAAGTGGTGGATGTGGGTACAGTGACAATGTTTGAAAGACATTTAGATAAGTTCATGAATACAAAATGTTTGGAGGGATATGGGCCAAGCGCAGGCAGGTAGGACCAGTTTAGTTTGGGATTATCGTCAGCAGACTCTATGTACTGAGACTGCTTTCCACACAGTTATAGTTTGAAACTTTCAGGGTCCATTTAAACAATCTCAAATTTGTGTTATGGAATTCTCCTGCACAGTTAACAGTGGAGAATGGAATGGAAGATAAAAGAGCACAAAAGTAGGTTTTGTGAACATTTTAAAACTTTACCCCATATTGAGTTATCTTTTGGCGAGGTATGAGGAAAGTGGCAGGGCCCTGAAGCACTGAAAGTAGTTGTATAAATGCAATTAACACAGAAAATGCTGGATAGAATTGGGCAGCATTCGCGGAGGGTGGGGCAGCAGAGTTAATGTTTCAGGATGATGAGCCTTCGTCATGACACAGTTAATTCTGTTCCTGATACTGCCACAACCTGACAGGCACTTCCAGTTTGCTCTGTTCATATTGCAGATTGTCAACATCTGCAGCATTTTACTGTCATACACATGCATTTCGGTCTTCCCTACCATAAAAGAAGAGTTTGAGGCTACTGCTGTTAAATAAATAGCAAATTTATTTCATGAGTTTTGTTTCTGTGTTGAAGATTTATAAAATATTACTGACAATGATGAGGCAGTCTCCGCGATGAAGCCACTGAACACTGCAGCTGCTGTTGGATGAAGGAATAAAGCCTCAGAGTTCTCTTAGTTTAAAAAGGCTGGTATAGTGATGGTTTGCTAGTGTCTGGAAGCTGCTTTCTGACAGGGCAAGACCATATTACCTTGGTCCAGTAGTCCAGTTTATTTTATCATTCATGTCCATTGTGAGGAATATACAAAGCTGGTTCAAGCTGTTTGCAGTTCTCAGTATATGGGCTCATTAAACCCCCCGACGGGAGGGAGTGGCTTGGTTGGGAGGGCAAAGGATCAATCTCAGTTTTAATACAAAGCCCAATTCCTGCAGAATGTGAAGGTGCAGATCAATACTGAGGGCCAGCAGGACTGTCCAGCCAATCAGATATTGAGGAAGATTCCAGCCAATCAGAACTTGGGAAAAGTAGATTCCTCAGTTACCCCAGTGAGGAGATTCAATGTGCCACACGGGACATTGAATGATAAGGATGCTTAACATCGATATGAATTCAGGACACCTCCTGAGGTGATAACAGGTTGTGGAAAGCAGATGCAGTTGGAATGGTTTCAAATTTTGAAGCCACCTTATCTTTCCCAGTAACGTTGTATGTAAACATACAGGACCCCAGCCTTTGATAGGGCACCCAAATGGCAACTTATTACAGTCCCAAGCCCATGTTCTGAGTACGAGGATTCAGGTGGATAAGTTTTGGAATGTGTGTAAATCCTGAAAGTGCTGTACTTGGACAGAATTCAAACCACAGGCCAATGGCCATTACTGTTCATGTGACTGTCTGGTCCCATTATGCCTTCTGATCCAAATGGACACTGTGCTGTACTCCAGCATCAGGCTGTTCACCTCAGTGAAGCTCAGATCCTCAACACTTGCCCCATTCACCTCCAGAATTTCATCCCCCACTTCCAGCAATCCAGTGTACAGCTTCTCAGCATTCTGATCTGCCATCTGGTGAATAAATATACCTAGAGGAAAGAAAAGCACACAAATTAACATGGGTCAGATTAAAGGCCTAGAATTTCACAGGATTATGGAAGTTCCAGCAATATTTAGATCCTGAAATGCCACCAACATTCCATTTCTTTTGGTAGGAAAGTGTGTGACTCCCATACGAAAGAAATCCAAACTCGGCAGACCCAACCAAACTCAGTGCAATTTCAACTCAGTGTAATTTCACTGCAGCGACAGCCATAATGTGTGAGAGTTCCAAATGTTTGGAATAATTGAAAATGCATTTCAGGGCAAATAAGTCAAGTTATTTAAATCAGTCCCTTAAAAATTAACAAAAAAAGACTCCCTGTACCAGTGAGAGCTGAAAAAGAAATCTGCTCTAGAAGTTACAATGTTACTGGAAAATATGAAGAGTTTCAGTAATGAAACCATTTGCAACTATAGCTGCTGCTTGGCTGCTTTCCACAACCTATCATCATTTTAGCAGGGGTCCTATATTGATTTGTGGCTCAAAGAGGTTATTAAGGGATTAGCTGTCTTTGATGTGTGATTATGAATACTGATCTGTTTGCTTTTTATTAGGGATTAATTTTTGAGGGGGTTTCAATATCTGAATTGGGCTTTCAAAAATAGAATAATTGTATTAAACACAATAAAGGCCGTAATGCACATTTCAAATTTGATTTTATTTCATCTCAAAGTGGTTCCTGAAGTCTGTTCATGGTGGATATTGGCATGGAGTGTATAAGGGCAAAGGGCGGTGGGTGACTACACATGAGTTTGGCATGGATGCAGCACGGTGAGTGAATGAGGCATGGGAGGGTTAGGCATCTGAGAGGCAACGTTTTCACACAGAGGGCGGTGTGTGTATGGAATGAGCTGCCAGAGGAAGTCGTAGAGGTAGGTACAATTACAACATTTAAAAGACACTAGGATATGTACATGGATAGAAAAGGTTTAGAGGGATATGGGCCAAAAACAAGTAAATGGGACTAGTTCAGTGTAGGAAACCTGGTGGGCATGGACGAGTTGGACTGAAGGGTCTGTTTCTGTGCTGGATGACTCTAAATGGACGCTAGAAGACCTGATGTTGAACAAAACAGCTTCAGCAAAGTCCGAGATGTATCAAGTCAGGCCTTTTAATCACTGCCTCCTTCGCCCGCCCAACACCCCCCTCACCACTTGCCGGCTTTTCTGGCCAATTGGCATCTGGAGCAATCAGCCTGACTCCATCCTGCAAACCATTTCCTCTCCCAGATTGAGGGCCTCGCCATTTGGGTGAGTATCTCACATGGTTAGCCAAGAGCTTTCCCATCGCGAGCTTCCAGCCTTGCTGGCAGAAATCAGGCCAAAGTTTATTTGCTAATCTGTACCTCTCTGAGTGGGTGCTGTTTGGTAGACACGCTTGTAATGGACAGTAATAACGGGTAAATTAATGCTACAAGAGCCTAGCAAAACAATCCAGTTGGAAGCAGGTTTTAAAGGTTGCAAGAATAAACACAGAGGTCTTGTGGCACGTCGCTACCTCTAGGCCAGAAACCAGGGGTTCAAGCTTCACCTCAGGACCAGTTATTTATAATGTTACCTCCGAAACAGGGTAGCTGTTAGATTGAGTGTATCTCCAGTACCCATGGAGGCAGGCAGTAAGAGTGACAGGGTCTCCTGATCAGCTGACCTGCAGCAGGCAGTGACAAACCAATGCAACACTTCACCCATCAGTGTAAACCAAACTGAAGACCTCACCCTGAAAATAAGGACAGATCAACAAGGAGAAGAATAGATTGCTCATCCTGGAGTCATAGAGGTCTACAGCATGGAAACTGGCCCTTCGGCCCAACTTGCCCATGCCATCCAGTTTTCACGAATTAAACTAGTCCCATTTGCCTGTGTTTGGTCCATATCCCTCCATATCTATCCCATCCATGTACCTGTCTAAATGTTGTACCTGTCTAAATGTTTCTTAAATGATAAAATTGTACTTATCTCCATTACCTCTGGCAGCCCATTCCAGACACTCCCCACCCTCTGTGAAAAAATTGCCCCTCTGGACCTTTTTGTATCTTTCCCCTCTCACCTTAAACCTGTGCCCTCTAATTTTAGACTCCCCTACCCTGGGGAAAAGCTACTGGCTATCTACCTTATATATGCCTCTCATGATTTTATAGACCTCTGTAAGGTCGCCCCTCAGTCTCCTCAGTCTCCTACGCTCCGGGAAAAAAGTCCCAGCCTATCCAGCCTCTCCTCATAACTCAAACCTTCCATGTCCAGGTAGCATCCTAGTAAATCTTTTCTGAATTCTTTCTAGTTTAATAATATCCTTTCAGTAGTAGTGCAACCAGAACTGCATACACAATAGAATATTGTTCCGGAATTACTTGTTGCGTTACAAAGTCAAGCAACTGACCAATGATGAGGGAATCATGACAAGATATTCACACAGCTCGGAGACACAGGTTCATGTCACATTACTGGGAAAACAGGGATAAAATCTTTTGGTGCATTGGCCAAATGCCTCACTCAGTCAACACCCTCAATACAAGCTCAGTAGGTTATTTACCTCACTGCTGTTTGCAGAGATGTTCCTCCTGCTACCTTTACCATTTACTTAGATAAATAGTTTATGGAGTACTTGGAGATTTTTCCACATGTAATACAGGTGGTTGCACATTATGTCTGGCAGATCTATAGCTTAAATGCCTTTCTTTCATGTATTATACCCAACTGTGTGCACTGTGTCTCTGACAACTGAAGACAGCACTGGTCTTGATAGACTAGTATTAATTAGCCCAAAGGAAAGGCTTTTTTTATCTATTCATTTGTGGGATGTGGGCATCACTGGCTGGCCAGCATTTCTTGCCCATCCCTAGTTGCCCTTGAGAAGGTGGGGGTGAGCTGCCTTCAGGAACCATTGCAGTCCATGTGCTGTAGATGGACCCTCAATGCCCTTAGGGAAGGAATTCCAGGATTTTGACCCAGCAACAGTGAAGGAACGGCATTTCCAAGTCAGGATGGTGAGTGGCTTGGAGGGGAACTTGAAGGTGGTGGTGTTCCCATATATCTATTGCCCTTGTCCTTCTAGATGGAAATGGTGGTGGGTTTGGAAGCTGCTGTCTGAGGATGTTGGTGAATTTGAGAAATGTGTTGTTGTTTAATACTATGAGCATGGGTTCTGCACAGCTTCACAATACAAACCTGATTCTTAAAAGCCTTCTTTTTACACACAAATTGCCAAGCATGCCCAGGTGAGTTAGGGGGTCAGAGTCTGGCACTGTGGTTGTGAACGAAAGACTTGCATTCCCTTCAAAGCAAGACCCTGAAAGTCAGGAGATCAGAACGAAGGGGCCCTACCCACTGAAGGTGGGGTGCAGGAGATGGCAGAAATCAGACCACATACCCAGGGACTGAGAGACACTGGAGGGCAGGAATGGTGTGTCCATCACCAGCATAACCAGGAGTGTGTGGGATTGGGGCCTTCAGTCCCAAATCTCTCCAGAGTGTTCACCCTCACACCCTTGAGTGTTCATGTCCCAAATGAACTAGAGCGGCTGGGGGACCTATCCTTGTCCCTCTGTTCAACGGTGTGCAGGATTTCCCAGCGAGGTTACAGTGATGGAAGGGAATCCAATTCCACCCACCCACACCCACACACAGACACCCACCGACACACACACACACACACCCCATACCCATACCCACACCCACACAAACACACACACCCCCACCCGCCCACACAGACACCCACCGACACACACACACACACTCACACACACACACACACACACACACACACCAGGTCATTCACAGCTCCTATAACCAGTGAGGCCTTAAGACAGTCGAGAGGGATGGAACTCCACATCCCCAGTACTCACGTCCACCCGATCTGGAGATGTGAAACCCAAACAGCGCCCCTGCTGGTTTGGAGAGTTCAAGAATGAAGCTGGCATCAGCGAATGTCTGTGTCACTTGGCCAACGAGCGTCAGGTGTCTGGCTGGAGCAAGGTCTCCTCCACGCAGAGCCATCACTGGGCTGCGGCCAGGAGGCTGGGCCCCACTGTCAACAAGAAACAGAAGACATCTGAACAAAGCACACACATGGCACGTCACCAGCACATAGGTCTCTACTGTCCCATGGAGACTACCATCTACCACCACCTGGTGCCCCCCCACAAAACACAGCAACAGCTTGTTGTCAGATGACCCACCCAATGGAACCATTTCTACAGCAGTGATAGGAGCACTGGGACCCACAGCAGCACGGCTATAGCACTCTGTGTAGAGGGCAGCGAAGGAGGTTACCTCACAGTACAACAGGATCTTGATCAGATGGGCCAATGGGCCAATGGGCCAAGGAGCGGAAGGTGGAGTACAATTTAGATAAACGTGAGGTGCTGCATTTTGAAAGGCTAATCAGGGCAGGACTTGTACACTTAATGCTAAGGTCCTGGGGAATGTTGCCGAACAAAGAGACCTTGGAGTGCGGGCTCATAGTTCCTTCAAAGTGGAGTCTCAGGTAAACAGGATGGCGAAGAATACATTTGGTATGCTTGCCTTTATGGGTCAGTGCAGGAATTGGGACATCATACTGTGGCTGTACAGGACACTGGACAGGCCACTTTTAGAATAGTGGTTGCCTTTTCTGGTCATCTTTCTGTAGGAAGGATGTTGTTAAACTTGAAAGGTTATAGAAAAGATTTACAAGGATGTTGCAGGGAAAAGCTGAATAGGCTGGGGCTTATTTTACCTGCAGCATCGGAGGCTGAGGGGTGACCTTATATAAGTTTAAAAAATCATGAAGGGCATGGACAGGGTGAGTAGCCAAGGTCTTTTCCCCAGGGTAGGGGAGTCCAAAACCAGAGGACATAGGTTTAAGGTGAGAGGGGAAAGATTTAAAAGGGACCTCAGGGATAACATTTTCACACAGAGGGTCGTGCGTGTATGGAACAAGCTGCCAGAGAATCCGGATGGCTATATGAACAGGAAGGGTTTAGAAGAATATGGGCAGATGCTGGCAAATGGGGCTAGGTCAGATTGGGATGCCTGGTTGGCTTGGATGAGTTGGACCAAACAGTCTGTTTCCATGCTGTATGACTCTATGACCTGAGCCCTTCCTTTGGGATCTCAAGGGAACAAACTGAAAGATCTGACAGATGATCAAATGCTCCCATGCCCTAGCGAGGCTAACAGTAACAACTGCTTAAATCAATCGACAGAGATAGTGGAGCAATGTAAACCCAACTGCGAGGTAATACAGCTTAGGCTTTGATGAGTTACCTGTCCAGAACATATCATTCCGGCTGAGGGTGCAGTGCAGTAGTGAGGGAGTGCCACACTGTCGGAGGGTCAGTACTGTGGGAATGCCGCACTGTCAGAGGTCAGTGCTGTGGGAGTGCTGCACTGTCAGAGGGTCAGTATTGAGGGAGTGTCGCACTGTGAGAGGGTCACTGCTGTGGGAGTGCTGCACTGTGAAAGGGTCAGTGCTGTGCAAGTGCTGCACTGTCACAGGGTCAGTATTGAGGGAGTGCTGCACTGTGAGAGGGTCAGTGCTGTGGGAGTGCCGCACTGTCAGAGGGTCAGTACTGAGGGAGTGCTGCACTGTCGGAGGGTCAGTGCTGAGGGAGTGTTGCACTGTCGGAGGGTCAGTGCTGTGGGAGTGCCGCACTGTCGGAGGGTCAGTGCTGTGGGAGTGCTGCACTGTCGGAGGGTCAGTGCTGAGGGAGTGCCGCACTGTGAAAGTGTCAGTGCTGAGGGAGTGCCGCACTGTGAAAGGGTCAGTGCTGAGGGAGTGCTGCACTGTCAGAGGGTCCGTGCTGTGGGAGTGCTGCACAGTCGAAGGGAGCATCATTCAGACAGGACGATCTGATGTCTGCCCCCTCAGGGGGCTGTAAGAGATCTCGCGGCACCATGAGACGAAGAGCACTTGGTGTTTCCTGGGCAACACTTATCCCTCACCCAGCTTCGCTGGCTGCATACAGCACTGGAGTGAAATTCTCAGCTGTAGGCATAATCCAGGCACTCAGTTCTAGCATCACCCCTACACCTACCCCTCCCCACCCTACTCCCCATCCTTGCAGCTGGATGTTTAAATCTCTGGATGGGAAGCAGGACAGTTTTCCCCTGTGCATTGACCAATATTTATCCCGCAACTGAGGGACTCATCATGTTAGTTACAGGAACTTGCTGTGAGCAAAATTATTGTCGGTATTCCACACATCTTAAACATCTCCGTTCAGTTGCTCCCCACCCCAATCTTCTAAACTGATGGTTAAAGATCCCTAGTCTGTGTAACCTGTCCTAAAACTGTAACTCTTCTGGGAATCACATATTTATGGTATGTCTCCAATCCTGTATAGAATGCGTTGGTGGGGCTGGCCATCTTATTGTGTGTAGGAGCTCTGCTGATACTTATAGAATCCAAGGTGCTTTCCATGAGCGCTCTTCACCCACAACCTTAACTCTTAGGGCCCTCTTGTGGTGCAGTGGTAGTGCCAAGTCCCACCTGGTCCAGAGGTGTGTCATAACATCTCTGAACAGATTGATTAGAAAATATCTTTTACGCTCAAGTGAGACATCTAATGCCAGTTCCAAGCTAAAATCCCCGCACCTCAACAATGCAACTCTCGTCTGGTTTTAATACTGAAATCTGCAGAGTGGGAACTGAACCCAGGAGCTCCTGACTGATGGGTTTGAGTGTTATTACTAAACCATGGTTGATACCGTTGCCCTGAATCACTCCGGAGAATGGTAATAAATCACAGGCCCCATCAAACTGCCAGCACTAGAAATACTGGGGCAAAACATCCGCCTTTAACTCTTCCAAATCGAGCAGTATTCATTTACAAGTATTACTGGGCTTACTTTAAACCGGTTTTACCCTCTGGGTAAGCAAATGCACCTCAGCTTAAAACTAAAAATCAATTTTCTCTCTGTCGATAACCTGCTAACTCACTGTCTACACTCAAAGCGGGGGCTACAGCCCATCACTGCTATTGAAAAGAGCAGCCGAGGGGTGAATTGGTGGCAGGGTAACAGTGGGTGGTGCCAAGGACAGGGGCCTGGAGGGGTGACAGTAAATGAAATGACTGGCTAGACAAGGCTGGAATGTGGTAGATTCAACCTCAGCAGTCTGGAGGTGGGCCATGGGGGAACCACCTTCAGTACTTGGGCTCCAAACAGCCTGGCACATGACTCTGCACCACCCTCTCGAGGGCTTTGAGGGCAACAAGGGCCAGTCAAACTTGCCTCCCTAGAGTAGAGGTCTCAACACATGCAGTGATAGTTATAGAGTCATACAGCACGGAAACAGACCCTTCGGTCCAACCTGTCCATGCTAAACATAATCGCAAACTAAACTAGTCCCACCTGCCTGCGCTTGGCCCATATCCCTCCAAACCTTTCTTATTCATGTACTTATCTAAGTGACTTTTAAATGCTGTAACTGTACCTGCATCCACCACTTCCTCAGGAAGTTCATTCCATACATGTACCACCCTCTGTGTAAAAAGGTTGTCCCTTATGTCTTCTCTAAATCTCTATCCTCTCAGCTTAAAAATATGCCTTCTAGTCCTGAAATCCCCCATCCGAGGGAAAACAACACCTGCCATTTACCTTATCTGTACCCCTCATGATTTTATAAACCTCTATAACTTCATCCCTCAACTTCCAATGAGAAAAGTCCCAGCCTTTCTCTTTTTCTCAGCAACATCCTGGTAAATCTCTTCCCAGGGAGCTGAACCACAAACTCTAGAGATTTTCTCATCACCCTGTTCAGCGATGTCATCACACATCTCTGGAGCAAGTGGGACTTGAACCCAGGCCACCTGGCTCAGAGGTAGGAACACTACCACTGAGCCACACAAGTTCCAGAGCTAAAATTGTGTTGTATAGACTAGGCTTGCTTTCCCTTGAGCTCAGAAGATTTGAAGTGTTGATAACCTCAAGGTATTTAAGATGATTAACCAATCTGACAGGATGGATAGCGAGAAATGATCTCCGCTGGTGGGAAAGTCCAAAGCAAAGGGGCATAATTTATCATTCAAACTGTGGAAGTGTCAGAGGGCAGAATTGAGGGCTCAGAGATCCTGGCAGGGAGGGGTGTGGTTGTGGGCTTTTGGAGATTGATTGGGTGAGGGATATGCGGAGAGAAGAGGGTACGGAGGGATTTGACAGCAAGGATTAAATCCTTAAAGGCTCGTCCTTCATCCTGGCCTCCGCCATCTTCAGTGTTCCTCAGCATCAACCTACCTCCTTCCCAAGCCAGCTTCTGGCACCTCCTGCACCAGGTAGGAACTGGAACGATTTCTTCGTGCCTGGGGGTGAAGAGATTGGAAAGAGATAGCTTTCCTCAGGTGAGCCAATGGGGACACCTAGTAGAAGATGACAGAATTGCACTGAACCCACTCCATGCATGTTTCATGCTGGCATTAACACCTTACTTCTGGTTACAAACACACAAATAAAAAGCAACAGCCTCGTTAATAAGAGCTCACGGTTTGTCAGTGAAACCTCCACCACCCCTTACCCGCAAGTCTCAAGGGATTATTAGGCCTTCAAGGCAAAAATAACTTCGCCAGCAGACTCAACCCCCTGACATCATCATCAAGCAAGAGTCCATGAGAGGTTGGTTCCCCACTACACATCACAGTCACTCGGTGAATGAACAACGTTCCCGTCTCCTGCCAGAAATCCCCATTCCCATCAGAATCCGGGGGTCTCCAGGAGCTTGTGTGGGTATTCAGCACTTCTCTAAGATCCATATCTCCTCTAGTCTCCCTCTAAACTCTTCCCAGTTAAACACTCATAGCTACGTTTGGATTTAGACCATAAGATAGAGGAGCCCATCAAGTCTTATCCGCCATTCCATCATGGCTGCTATGTATCTCAACCCCATTCTCCTGCTTTCTCCCTGTAACCCTTGTCCGCCTTATAAATCTCTGTCTTAAGTACACTCAATGACTTGGCCTCCACAGCCCTCTGTGACAATGAGTTCCACAGATTCACCACCCTCTGGCTGAAGGAATTCCTCCCCATCTCAGTTCTAAAGGGTTGTCCCTTCATTCTGAGGGTGTGCTCTCATGTCCTAGTCTCTCCTACATCCAGTCTATCCAGGCCTCTCAGTATTCTTTAAGTTTCAATCAGATCCTCCCTCATCCTCCTAAACTCCATCGAGTACAGATCCAGAGTCCTCAACCGCTCCTCATATGACAGGCCCTTCATCCCCGGGATCATTCTTGTAAAGCTCCTCTGGACTACCTCCAACACCAGCATATCCTTCCTTAGGTACCGGACCTGAAACTGCTTGTAATATTCCAAATACAGTTTGACCAGAGTCTTATACAGCCTCAGCAGTACATCCCTGCAGTTCTAGCCCTCTCAAAACGAATGCTCACATTGCATTTGCCTTCCTAGCTGCCAACTGAACCTGTATGTTAACCTTAACAGAATCCTTAAATAGGGCCCCAAAGTCCCTTTGTGTTTCAGATTTCTGAAGCCTTTCCCCGTTTAGAAAATAGTCTATACCTCTTTCCTTCCCACCAAAGTGCATGGCCTCACACTTTCCCACATTGCATTCCATCTGCCACTTCTTTGCCCATTCTCCTAGTCTGGCCAAGTCCTTCTGCAGCCTCTCCACTTCCTCAACACTACCTGTCCCTTTACCTATCTTTGGGTCTTCTGCAGACTTAAATTTTCTCACAGCCCAATTCTATTTGAACCGTACAACACAGAAAAAAAGGACCATTTGGCCCACTGTGTTGATGCTGACCCTTCGGTCGAGGTTTCCATTCAGCTCCATTCACTTGCTCTTTCCCATTAACCATGAAAATTGTTTCCCCTGGAGTCTTTTCTGAATCCTGATGGAAACAGATGGTTCAGTCTGTCTCCACCATCTCTTCAGGTAACACATTCCAGATGATAATAACTCTTGACCTAAAAGAATCTTCATCTTCCCCCTCGTTCTGTCGGTGAACCTACATTCCTCACTCCTGCCAATTATAGCATTATCACCTTAATCATTGTGATGAAAACTCCTCATTATTTTGGACAGTCCTATCTCTCTCCCTCCAGGAGGTTCCTTCTGGCTGGAGGTACCACCTTCTGAAAGGGATAGAGGATTACTTTGAATTTACCGAAACAGTTCCAACTCTGTTTGCGTACAGGAATAGTGAAGTCTTGCTTCCATTGCATAGAAGATTGGTTAGATTTCTTGGTTGATGTACTCTGTATATCAGGAAAGATACTACTTTACTCAGAGGATTGTGAATCTTTGGAATTTGGAATCACAGAGGGCTGTGAGAGCTTTGAGTGTGTTTTATGGATTTCTGACACCAGTGGCATACAGGATTACCAGGATGGGGAGGGTAAATGGGCATCACAATGTTTGATCAGTCATGATCACACTGAATGATGGGGCAAGCTCAGTGAGCTGAATGGCCTACTCCGATATCTCATGTGGCTCAATGTGTATAGCCCACAACTCCTCTGATTGTAATGTTCCTAGGAGGGATAATCAATAACAATCTGCCCTGGACCACCCATGTTGATGAGATGGTCAAGAAAGCACAACGATGCCTCTACTTCCCTCAGGAGGCTAAGGAAATTCAGCATGTCCATAAGGACTGTCACCAACTTTTACAGATGTACCATAGAAAGCATTCTATCTGGGTGCATCATGGCCTGGTACAGCAACTGCTCTGCCCAGGACTGTAAGAAACTACAGAGGATTGTGAACACAGACCTGTCCATCATGGAAGCCAACCTTCCATCTACTGATTCCATCTATACTTCTTGATGCCTTGAAAAGGCAGCTAACAGTATCAAAGACCCCTCCCACCCTGGTTATAATCTCTTACAATCTCTTCCATCAAGCAGAAGATACAAAAGCTTAAACACACGTACCAACAGATTCAAGAACAGTTTCTTCCCTGCTGTTATTAGACTTCTGAATGGACCTCTCTAATGTAATGTTAATCTTGCTTTTCATGCACCTCCTCTGCAGCCGTAACTTTGTATTCCTCGCTCTGTTCAATCACCCTGTGATCTTTGTATGGTATGGTCTGCCCGTATTGCATGCAAAACAAAACTTTTCACTATACTTAGGTACATGTGAAACAACAATAAATCAAATCAACTCAAAAATCAAAATCCCACCTCTATCTCTTGGTCATATTTACATCAAGCCTTCCCTGAAAAGAATTTTAACTACTTTTCTGTCTGACTCCTTTCTCGAAAAAAAACACCCTCCGCCAACGCTTATTTCAACCTTTCCTGAAGATTATATTCCTTCGGTTCTGAGATTAAATGTTTCTGCTCCTCCACCAGTGATTTTATTACAGAGAGTAGAAGTGCCCACCTTATCACAGTGTGGCCACAAGGTTCCTGGCCTACGCAATGCAAGGCCAGGTTACACTAACACACTGGGCAGCCTGTACCAGAAGTCAGGCTCTTCCATGGCCAATAAACCCAGGAGTGAGACTCAAAAACAGGGTTTTCCGGCTCAAAGGCACAAGCCCTAACAAATACTCCACCCTTGGTTTTAACTTTCATGCTTAGATTTTAATTTTCCAAAACTCACTTGGTTTGGGGAAAGTCCCATTAGATTGCTGTTATATATATTGGCACAGAGAAAGGATTGGCTGACCGGTGAGCCTGACGTCAGTGGTGGGGAAGCTGCTGGAGAAGATACTGAGGGATAGGATCTATTTACATTTGGAAGAAAATGGGCTTATTAGTGATAGGCAACATGGTTTTGTGCAGGGAAGGTCATGTCTTACCAACTTGATAGAATTCTTTGAGGAAGTGACAAAGTTGATAGATGACGGAAGGGCTGTAGATGTCATATACATGGACTTCAGTAAGGCATTTGATAAGGTACCCCATGGTAGGCTGATGGAGAAAATGAAGTCACATGGGGTCCAGGGAGTACTAGCTCGATGGATAGAGAACTGGCTGGACAACAGGAGACAGAGACTTGTAGTGGAAGGGAGTTTCTCAAAATGGAGAACTGTGACCAGTGGTGTTCCACAGGGATCCGTGTTGGGATCACTGTTGTTTGTGATATACATAAATGATCTGAAGGAAGGTATAGATGGTCTGATTAGCAAGTTTGCAGATGACACGAAGATTGGTGGAGTAGCAGATAGTGAAGGGGACTGTCGGAGAATGCAGCAGAATGTAGATAGATTGGAGAGTTGGGCAGAGAAATGGCAGATGGAGTTCAATCCAGGCAAATGAGAGGTGATGCATTTTGGAAGATCCAATTCAAAAGCGAACTATACGATAAATGGAAAAGCCCTGGGGAAAATTGATGCACAGAGAGATCTGGGTGTTCAGGTCCATTGTACCCTGAAGGTGGCAACGCAGGTCGATAGAGTGGTCAAGAAGGCATATGGCATGCTTTCATTCATCAGACAGGGTATTGAGTACAAGAGTTGGCAGGTCATGTTACAGTTGTATAGGACTTTGGTTCAACCACATTTGGAATACTGCATACAGTTCTGGTCAGATATGGATGCATTGGAGAGGGTGCAGAGGAGGTTCACCAGGATGTTGCCTGGTATGGAGGGCGCTAGCTATGAAGAGAGGTTGAGTAGATTAGGATTATTTACATTAGAAAGACGGAGGTTGAGGGGGGGCCTGATTGAGGTCTACAAAATCATGAAAGGTATAGACAGGGTGGATAGCAAAAAGCTTTTTCCCAGAGTGGGGGACTCAATTACTAGGGGTCATGATTTCAAGGTGAGAAGGGAAAAGTTTAAGGGAGATATGCGTGGAAAGTTCTTTATGCAGAGGGTGGTGGGTGCCTGGAATGCGTTGCCAGCGGAGGTGGTAGAGGCAGGCACTATAGCATCATTTAAGATGTATCTAGATAGATACATTAATGGGCAGGGAGCAGAGGGATACAGATCCTTGGAAAATAGGCGACAGGTTTAGATAGAGGATCTGGATCGGCGCAGGCCTGGAGGGCCAAAGGGCCTGTTCCTGTGCTGTAATTTTCTTTGTTCTAATAGTCAACAGAGAGCTGGGATAATGAGGGACGTTTTCAGGATTGCAACCTGTAACTAGTGGAGCGCCACAAGGATCGGGGCTGGGGGCACAGTTAATTACAATGTGTAATGACTTGGATAGGGAAAGCGAGTGTATGTTTGCCAAGTCAACATTAAAATTAGGTGGGAGAGCATGCGCCCAGATTAACACAAGCAGTCTACACAGGGATATGGACAAGTTAAGTGAATGGGCAAAAACTTGGCATATGGAATATAATGTGAGGAACTATGAGGTTATGCACTTTGGCAGGAAGAATAGAGGAGCTGAATATTATTGAAATGGATAAAGACTGCAGAAAGCTGCAGCACAGAGAGATTTGGGAAGTCCTTGTGCACAAATCTGAAAACAATAGCATAAATGTTCAGCAGGTAATAGGGAAGGCAATGGAATGCTGGCCTTTATTTCAAAGGGAATAGAGTATAGAAGTGGGGAGGTTTTGCTGAAACTATACAAGGTGCTAGTCAGACCATAGCTAGAATACTGTGAATTGTTTTGGGTTCCTTATCTAAGGGAAGATACTTTGGTATTGGAGGCAGTCCAGAGAAGGTTCAACTCAGCTGATGGTGTGTATGGAGAGACTGTCCTATGAGGAGAAGCTGAGTAGGTTGGGTTTGTACTCAGTGCAGTTTAAAAGAATGAGAGGAGACCTTATTGAAACACACAAGATTCTTATGGGATTGACAGGGAGAGGTTGTTTCCCCTTGTGGGAGAGTCTAGGACCCAAGGGCCTCATCTCAGAATAAGGGGTTGCCCTGTTAGCAAAGACATGAGGAGGAATTTCTTCCCTCAGAGGGTAATGAACCTGCAGAATTTTTTACTGCAGAGGGCTGTCAAGGCTGACATTAAGCATATTCAAGGCTGAGACAGACAGATCTTTAATCAGGAAGGGAATCAAGGGGTTCTGGGGAAAAGGCAGAAAAGTGAAGTTGAGGATTATCAAATCAGCCATGGTCTTATCAAATGGTGCAGCAGACTCGATGGGCTGAATAGCCTATCTCTGCTTCTAGGTCTTATGGTCTAACTAACTGACCAGTCAACTCGCTAACTCTTTGCGGGATCTTGCTGTGTTAAATTGGGGCTCCTCTGACATAACAATGCCAACTTCACTGAAAAGCAAGCCTAGGGGCATTTGGAGGGCGTGATGGGGCGCTACTTAAATGGAGGTTCTCTCGTGGCCAAAGTCAGGATGATCCCCCTACCCCTCCTCCACGGTGTGGGTCTCTAGCATTGTGCAGAACGTTCAAACACTTAACATCAAACCCTTTCACAGAGGCTTAACAGCAACCCAGGTCAGGCAGGAGATAGTCAGACAATCAGCAGCTCAGAGTGAGGTGGGTGTAACTGAGCAGCTGGGACATGATTTGCAGGCAGAGACTTTGAATTGAGAAAAGTTTAGACAGCAAATCTAGGCTGGCAACAGTGGAGTGAATGTGGAGGTTAAGGGAGGGGCCAGTGTTTGATGGGGGCAGTGTGGGAGGGTTGCAGGACGACAGCAAATAAGGACAGCATAGACCTCAGGATGAGAATTTTAAAATGGACCCGAGTGTAAGTGTGGAACAGGGGAATAGGGGGCACATTGCGTGTTGGTATCGGCGACCTGAGAGAACTTTGAGGGTCAAGCACATAATGTGAAGACTGGAGAGGGGGACCTCCCTGAAATGTTATCTTTATGCTGCCCCATCAGGCCACAATCATCAGGTTATGGATCCAAAGTTTCCCCAGTCCGAGCTGATATACAGAGTGGGCTGGCTGCGTGGTAGCTGCTCTTAGAAAGCCCAGCAGGTGGAGCTCACGTGCTATCAATACTCCTGGCTCAAGGTGACCAGATGAGCAGGCAGAACAGAAATAGGCTGTTTACACAGCAACCAGGAGCAGGATTAGGCCATTTGGCCCTTCCAGCATGCTCTATCATTCAAAACTCAGGTTTGGGAGTTTCCCCTGAACTCCCTATGGATTTATCCCTGATTATCTAAAGGTGGTGCTGTGGGAATGGGTGAAGAGGTGGGGTAGATGGAGTTAGATGTCAGGCCATCCGCAATCTAATTCAAAGTCTCTGCCTGCAAATCCTGTCTCAGTTGTTCTGTTACACCCACCTCACTCTGAGCTGCTGATTGTCTGACTATCTCCTGCCTGACCTGGGTTGCTGTTAAGCCTCTGTGAAAGGGCTTGATGTTAAGTGTTTGAACATTCTGCACAATGCTAGAGACCCACACCGTGGAGGAGGGGTAAGGGGATCATCCTGACTTTGGCCACGAGAGAACCTCCATTTAAGTAGCACCCCATCACGCCCTCCCAATGCCTCTAGGCTTGCTTTTCAGTGAAGGTGACATTGTTATGTCAGAGGAGCCCCAATTTAACACAGCAAGATCCCACAAAGAGTTAGCGAGATGATTAGTTAGACCATAAGACCTAGAAGCAGAGATAGGGCATTCAGCCCATCGAGTGTGCTCCACCATTCAGAGGGATTGAATGGCCTGCTCCTGTTCATGTTTATAGTGCCTAGGCCTGGATTTCCCACAAGAGTGGAAACACTACCTCCACAGCGACCAACTTATCAAAACTCATCCATAATTTTCAAACACCTCGGTGAGGTCACTTCTCAGTCTTCCCAGTCTTTAATCTTTCCTGTTAATCACTTACTGTCTACCGTTCCTGCGGATACTGTCTGATCTTATTTACAGAGTTTCTATGCCTTACGTCCAAAAGCTGGAGAAGGTGCGGGGTAAGTAAGATTGGAAACGACTTGAAGATTTCGGTGCTGGATCTCTGTGAGAGGCGCAGTACCCACCAGCCGGAGAGACTGGAGAGAAGGACTCTTCCTCAGCCTTGCTTCAATCTCCTCGCTCCTCTTCGCTGCAGGCTGAGGGTCCGCTGATGGAGGGCTAAGCTGCTCCATACTGGCCGAGCGGAGCTTGCTCAGCTTCCTGATGGCACTGTGGCCAATGGAAGAGAAATAGGCCTTCAGGACGGAGCGTGGTCTCTGCTGGCTCTCAGTAACACGCCGAGATCCAGAGCCATAGCCGGGGTCTCTGCACCACAAAACAGAGTGTCAGTCACAGGTCACTCACACAGAGAGGTCACAGTTTTAGGATAAGGGGTGGACAGATTTAAAACAGAGACGAGGACGAATTATGTGATATCAAGAAACAATTGGAGGCACTGGATACTGCAAAGGCTATGAGCCCTGACAACATTCCAGCAATAGGACTGGAGATGGCACGGTGGCTCAGGGGTTAGCACTGCTGCTTCACAACTCCAGGGACCTGGGTTCGATTCCACCCTTGGGTGACTGTCTGTGTAGAGTTTGCACATTCTCCCTGCGTGGGTTTCCTCCAGGTGCTCTGGTTTCCTCCTACAGTCCAAAGATGTGCAGGCAAGGTGGATTGGCCATGCTAAATTGCCCACAGTATTCAGGGTTAGGTGGGTTACAGGGAAAGGGTAGGGGGATGGGTCTGGGTGGGATGCTCTGAGGGTCGGTGTGGATGTGTTGGGCTGAAGGGCCTGTTTCTGCACTGTAGCGATTCTATGAGTGTGCTCCAGATACTTGCTTCCCCCTAGCCAAGCTGTTCCAGTCCAGTTACAACACGGGTATCTACCCGACAATGTGGAAAATTGCCCAAGTACGTCCTGTACACAAAAAGCAGGACAAATCCAACCTGGCCAATTCCCGCCCTATCAGTCTACTCTCGATCATCAGTAAAGCGATGGAAGGTGTCATTGACAGTGCTATCAAGCAGCACCTGCTCAGCAATAACCTGCTCAGTGACGCCCAGTTTGGGTTCCGCCAGGGCCACTCAGCTCCTGACCTCATTACAGCCTTGGTTCAAACATGGACCGAAGAGCTGAATTCCAGAGGGGAGATGAGAGTGACAGCCGTTGACATCAAGGCTGCATTTGACCGAGTGTGGCATCAAGGAACCGAGGCTTGGAGAGGAACTTGCAGGGGCTGGTGTTCCCATGTGTCTGCTGCTCTTGTCCTTCTGGATGGAAGTGATTTGTGGGTTTGGAAGGTGCTGGTTGAGGATCTTTGGTGAATTTCTGCAGTGCATCTTGTAGACAGTATACACTGCTGCTACTGAGCGTCGGTGGTGGAGGGACTGGATGCTTGTGGATGTAGTGCCAATCAAGTGGGCTACTTTGTCCTGGATAGTGTCAAGCTTCCTGAGTGTTGTTGGGGCTGCACTCATCCAGGCAAGTGGGGAGTATTCCATCACACTCCTGACTTGTGTCTTGTCGATGGTGGACAGTCTTTGGGGAAGCCAGGAGGTGAGTTACTCACAATTCCCTTTCAATTTCAGTCCGTGTAAGGAGAACCCCAGCTTCTCTCAGTAGTCTCCCTCCCCGATGGAAACCCCTCTTCAGGAGACTGTTACTGTGAGCATTTCCCTGAACTTGAAATAAATTAAATTGCATTGCTATTGTGACATTCACATGCCAGGACATCTCAAAGTATTTCACAGCCATGAAGTCCTCTTTAACTATGATCACTGCTGTAATGGTGCAAACATGGCCACCAATCTCCACGCAGAAAGATCCCACAAACAGCCATGTGTAGTCACGTTGGTTGAAGGATAAATACTGGCCCTGAAATAACTCCCCACTTCTTCTCCCAAAGGTGTTCTGGGATCTTTAACATCTACCCAACAGGGAAGACAAGACTTCAAAGTAATGCTGAAAGATGGTCCCTCTGACAGTGCGGCATTCCCTCAGTACTGACCCTCCGACAGTGCGGCACTCTCTCAGCACTGACCCTCTGACAGTGCGGCACTCCCTCAGTACTGACCCTCCGACAGTGCGGCACGTCCTCAGTACTGACCCTCCGACAGTGCAGCACTCCCTCAGCACTGACCCTCCGACAATGCGGCCCTCCCACAGTACTGACCCTCCGACAGTGCGGTGCTCCCTCAGCACTGACCCTCTGACAGTGCGGCACGTCCTCAGTACTGACCCTCCGACAGTGCAGCACTCCCTCAGCATTGACCCTCCGACAGTGCGGCGCTCCCTCTGTACTGATGATCAGACAGTGCGCCACCCCCTCAGTACTGACCCTCCGACAGTGTGGCACTCCATCAGTACTGACCCTCCAACAGTGCGCCACTCCCTCAGTACTAACCCTCCGACAGTGCGGCACTGACCCTCCGACAGTGCGGCACTGACCCTCCGACAGTGCGGCATTCCCTCAGTACTGACTCTCCGACAGTGCAGCACTCCCTCAGTACTGATGATCAGACAGTGCGACACTCCCTCAGTACTGACCCTCCGACAGTGCGGCACGCCGTCAGTACTGCACTGCACTCTCAGCCTGGATGATGTGTTTGTGTCTATGGAGTGGAGGAGTGGAGCAACATTGTGAGCCGGAGGGGAGATTACACCCTACTGAGGCCCGAGTGAGGGAGATGCTGTCTTTCATTGAGTTGTGTGGTGGTTACACAATGAGCAATCTCCAGTATTAACTCATTCCTGTGACAAACCCAGGACCCAGGACCCAATGGAGCTTGTCAACTGCTCCTGGGCCTTGAGCTGGAGCCTGAGACCAACTCGGGGTGGAGACAGAGAGGTGACTTGGTCCTGACACAGAGAGGGGGGAATGCAGACTCACACTAGCACTTGGTTGTCTTCTGAAGGCCAGCTGGTCGAGTGGTGGGCAGGACTCTCTCTGCAGACGTATGGCCTGTTCCCGGACTGATAGGCAGCAGGATCTGCCTCAGGAGGCTGTGCCAACCCCTGACACTCCCCAAGATCTGATGCTACGGCTGGATTTGGCTCCTCCAGTCTGTCAGTGTTGTCGTGGGGCCTTATCCTCACCTTTGGTAGCTTCCGTTCTGCTAAGATAGAGAGAAACAGTAACAGCATGTAGGCCGCCTTAACCCTCGCCATCCACACGGACCCATGCCACACCATGTTCTCACATTCTCCCCATGCCTCCCAATGCCCTTTCATACACCCAATGCCCTCTCATACATCCAATGTCCCCTCTCCTCCCATGCTTCCTTTCCACCCCATGCCCTCTCATACATATCATGTCCCCTCTCCTCACCATGCCCTCGCATACACCCCATGTCCCAATGCCTCCCCATGCCCCTTACCTCCCCATCCCCTCTCATGTACCCCATGTCCCCTCTCATCCCCAATGTCCCCTCTTACACATCCATGCCCCTTCTGATCTTCATGCCCTCTTGTTGTCCACTCTCAGGCACTATTCCACTTATTACCACCACACTTCCCCATGCCAGGCCATGTCCTCTCCTACTCCCTACGCTCCATTGTGCCTCCTCAAACAACCCCTGTTCCCCCATACTCATTAATCCAGCCTATGTCCCCACATACTCCCATTCTGTTCTATGCCCCCTATTTATCCCAGATAGCTCTTCAGCCAGTATCCACTGAGCACAGCCCTCAACGCCCCTGTAATAGAAAATGGGAAATAACAGCTACAGCAACCAAATAAGACTGTGATTCAATTTGGTGTCCTAGATGTTTTGCTCCTTCACAGGATGAGAGTGTCATTAGCTGGGCCAGTATTTACTGCTCCTCCCAATTGCCCTTGACAAGGTGACACTGAGCTGCCTGTTTAAACCACGGCAAGGCATTCAGTGCAGGTAGACAACCCTACCATGTGCTGTTGGTGACAGTGAAGGAACAACAATATATTTCCAAGTCAGGATGATGAGTGGTTTGGAAGGGAACTTGCAGGGGGTGGTGTTCCCATGTATCTGCTGCCCTTGTCCTTCTGGATGGAAGTGGTCGTGGGTTTGGAAGGTGCTGTCTGAGGATCTTTGGTGCATTTCTGCAGTGCATCTTGTAGATAGGACACACTGCTGCTGCTGAGTGCCGGTGGTGGAGGGAATGGATGTGGCGCCAATCCAGCGGGGACTGCTTTATCCTGGATGGTGTCGAGCTTCTTAAGACCATAATATGGAGGAGAAGAAGTAGGCCATTCAGCGACTTTGAGTCTGCTCAGCCATTAAATGAGACCATATATTATGGAGAAGTGTAAGGCTGTACTCTTTGGCAGGAAGAATAGAGGAGCTGAATATTATTTAAATGGAGAAAGGCTGCAGAAAGCTACAGAACAGAGGGATTTGGGAGTCCTTGTCCACAAATCACACAAACGTAGCACCCAAGTTTAGGGGATAATAGGGAAGACAAAATGGAATGCTGGCTTTTATTTCAAAGGGAATGGAATCTAAAAGTAAGGAGGCTTTGCTAAAACTACACAAAGCCATACACATAGTCAGACCCCAGCTGGAATACTGTGAACAGTTTTAGCCCCATATCTAAGGAAAGATAAAGTGGCATCGGAGGCAGTCCAGAGAAGGTTCACTCGGCTGATCCCGGGGATGGAGGGACTGTCTTGTGAGGAGATGCTGAGTAGGTTGGGTTTGTACTCAGTGGGGTTTAAGAGAATGAGAGGAGACTTGATTGAAACACAGGAGATTCTTATGGGGCGTGACAGGGAGGGGTTGTTTCCCTTTGTGGGAGAGTCTAAGATACGGAAGGCATTGTCTCAGAGTAAAGGGTCGCCCATTTAAGACAGAGACGAGGAGGAATTTCTTCTCTGAGACGGCAGTGAATCTATGGAACTCTTTCCCACAGAGGGCTGTCGAGGCTGGGCCATTAAGTGTATCCACAGCTGAGACAGACAGATCTTTAATCAGTGCGGGGATTTTAATCAGTGTGGGGAAAAGGCAGGCAAGTGGAGTTGAGGATTGTCAGATCAGCCCTGATCTCATTGAATGGCAAAGCAGACTCGATGGGCTGAAAAGATTACTCCTGATCCCACCATCACCACTATTATCATTCCTATTGTCTTTTGGTTGGAGGGTCCTCATCATTTGTTCCACTGACTTCCCCCTCCCTTCTATGCCAACGGAATTAAAAACTCTCCAGACCCTTTCAGTTCTGAAAAGGAGACATACTGGACTCAAAATGTTAACTCTGTTTCTCTCTCCACTGAGGTTCCGAGCAGTTTGTGTTATAAGGTTACAGATTGTGCTGGATTCTGCTGCTGTTGATGGTCTACAGCGCCTCATGGATGCCCAGCCTTGAGTTGCTGGACCTGTTTGAAGTCTGTCCCATTTAGCACGGGAGGTTACTCTCAATGTGAAGGCAGGATTTAGTCTCCACAAGGACTGTGCAGTGGTCCCCCTCACTGATACTGTCATGGACGGGTACAGCAGATTGGTAAGATGAGGTCAAAACCGAAAGAACTGCAAACAGGGGTGAAGAAGGGCAAATAAATAACAAGGGAGATGGCTGGCTTTGTATATAGCCAGGAAATTTTACTAAACGCACGTCTAACACTCACTGGAACAAGAATATAAATAGTGAGTTGAGTCCTGAGCTCCAGCTGTGTGGGCTGGTGGGTTGCACCTTGGCGAACGTGTGACCAATTTTGCCCCCATTCACTACTCGTGGCAGTGTACTACAGATCCAGGAAAACAGCCCAGGGATGGGCTTGTTCTCTTTGGGCAGGTCATGGGGGGAGGGTCCCCTCACCGACTGGGGTCATGGGGGAGGGGCCCCTCACTGACTGGGGTCATGGGGGGAGCGACCCCTCACCGACTGGGGTCATGGGGGAGGGACCCCTCACCAACTGGGGTCATGGGGGGAGGGTCCCCTCACCGACTGGGGTCATGGGGGGAGGGTCCCCTAACCAACTGGGGTCATGGGGGGAGGGTCCCTTTACCGACTGGGGTCATGGGGGGAGGGTCCCCTCACCGACTGGGGTCATGGGGCGAGGGTCCCCTCACCAACTGGGGTCATGGGGGAGGGTCCCCTCAGTAAGTGGGTCCAGCAACTCAAGGCTGGGCATCCATGAGGCACCAACGGAAAAACCCGTTTCCAACCCTGTGGACTGACGCCTCTAGTTCTGCCCCCTTCCCGTGTGGAATAAGTACAGACTTTGAACGCAGGAGACCGTTCCTGAACAATACCCAAACTCTGGCGCTGACCACACTGATGGACCTCCTGCACTCTACACAGCTGTCCCAGCGACCATTCCACGGGCCTAAGCTCTCAGATAGGATATGTGTTGTCCACTTACCTGTTTTACTGAGGTCCTTCTCAGCAGCCTGCTCGGATGTGGACATCCCCTCAGCACCAACACTGCTCCAACTATTCCCAGTCTTGCTGGCTTCGATAGACCCCTGGTGCTCAGAGGGGGAGAGCCCGCCGTTCGGATTGATGGGCCGACAGGTCGCCGTGGAGGGTCTCCCCGTGCGGGGGGTCCGTCTTCCCGAGCTCTGGCCTGAGCTGTCAGCCAGTGGGTCCCTCGGGCAGGGAGGGTCTGAATCTGGCAGTGGGTGGGCACTGGGTTCTGAAGGGCACGAGGCCCGTGTGCGGTCACGTGGCACCTGTCGCTGAGGCTGAAGGGAAGAAGCTTCCAGAAGGGGTGGGGAGCCGGGCGGTCTCCCTGCGTCGCCCCATTGAGATGGGCAGTTGCCAGGGTGTGTGACGTGGCTGTCTGTGTGGGTGTGACGTGGCACTCTGCCCTGCTGGCATGAGCCTGGCTCGCCTTTGCTGCCCGGCAGCCTCTTCAGTGACGGGTGCCGGCCGCGAGCCTTAACCGGGAGGTTTGTGGGGAGCGCCGGGTCTGTCCCAGGTTCCCCAGGTCCGCCTCGGGCCTCCTCGCCCTGCCCGTTTCCAAGACCCCTCCTGCCACTTTCCAGAGGAAGGGGCAGGCACGGCAAGCTGGAGACCCCCTGGCTCTGGTCAGGGCTGCGATCGGGCCTCCCTGCTGGGCACAGTGATGCAGGGTGGGGCAGCAGCTGCTGCTGCTTCTTCTTACAAAGGGAGGGCATCTCCGGAACCTGCCCTGAGCTCGGGTCTGCTTCGGGACTGACCCCTGGCACACAAACCCTGGCCGCTACCTTGGAATCGGCGCCCCGTCCGAGTCGGCCAGTGCTCTCAACTCCACGGCACTGCTGGCCGCAGACCCTCCCCCTCTCCTCCATCTCCCCTCTGGACCCTGACCCACAGTCGGCTGGGGCTGTCCGAGGGTCGGAGGGGGCACCGTTCTTCCCGAGGCCACTCTTTGGCGAGTCTATGTGACGGGCAGGGGTTCCGACATTTCCTGCTCTCCCTCCCTCGCTGCCTGACGCGACAGCATGGTAGCATGATGCGACTCTCGTGCCTTTACAATCCTCCCTCTCTGCATCGCCTGGGCTGCAAGTGGTCACGCCAATCACAGGGATGTCATCGATGGAAGTCACGTCACCAATGTAGGTCTCCCTAATGGGCTCGATTGTGATCCTTGGCCCTGACAGAAGAGCCCCACAAGGTATGGTTCTGGGAGCCAGCGAACAAACCACATCTCCAGGTCCCGCACTCAGGCTGGGCACAGGATCCCGGGGAATTTCCAGCCGACCGGGGAGGTAGACCTCCTCACCCTGGGCTCCGAGCCTGGCATCCGGAAATTCATAGGAAGGGGGCTCAAGCCCACGCACCGCCGGCTCTGAAATGATGTAGGAGCCACAAGAGCTACACTTACCGTCAATGCAGAAGGCGGTGTAGGCAAGGGGGAGAGACGCCCCGCCAGCTGGCATCTCACCGTTGGCGTGTGGGCCAGCGGTGCCCCGTGCTCGGGGAGCTTTGCCGCGTGCTTTAACAGCGTCTTCCGCGTCGACCCTCAGCAAGCACTCCTTCCTGGGCAACCGATAGGCCGGGAGGCCAGGCAGGCTCCTGGTCACCCAGTGCCCCGAGGGCTCAGCCCCGCACCTCCTCTGCAGCTGGTAGCGGGCCTCGGCCTCCTGGGTCGACTCGTCCTCGAACCTCACGCGGCTTGGCGATTGGCTCCGTTTCTCTCGTGCTCCGCAATGGGGTTCGCCACTGGGGGCGCCCGGACAAAACCGCTCTCTGGAGGTGGGCCCCCTCTTTGGTGACGAGCTGCCATCCACGCGGGCATCCCTGCACAGTGGGGTGGAAACACACCAGTTATTTTACCAGGCTGCATTCAACCAAGAGCCCGATCCACTGCAGTACCGAGGCAGATCGGGGGCACCGTATGGGCACGTATACAAACACACTGCGTGTCTCCACATCTCACAGCTAGACCACACACCAGCTCCCTCTCTTACGCACCATAGATCGACTGAGACTCAGCACTGCCCCCAACATAAAGAGATTGTGTAACCTGGGTGTACCCTCCGAGTTACACTGCATCAATCCCTCCGCCCCTCCCAACTCCAGGAGCCAGGCTAAATTCCCCACCGCAGCGGCTGACGGAGTGCCACACTGTCAGAGGTACAATCCTCCCTGTTGGGACATTAAACCAGAGTCCGATTCCCTCAGGTGGATACAAAAATCGCAAAACACAGTTTCAAAAGACTCACTCGGTTGATTCCTGGCGTAGACGAGTTGTTTTACGCGGAAAGGTTCAGCAAATTGGGCATGCACTGTTGGAGTTTCGAAAACTGAAGGGTGATTTTTCCCCCACTATATATCAGTTTGCAGGATGTGGATACGGTTGAGATTTATCGCCCGGACCTAGTAACTGCCTAGGGAAGGTGGGGGTGAGCTGCCTTCTTGAATCACTGCAGTCCACGTGCTGTAGGCAGACCCACAATGCCCTTAAGGGGGGATTTCCAGGATTGTGACCCAGTGACGGAAGGAACAATGATATATTTCCAAATCGGGAGGGTGAGCAGCTTGGAGGGGAGCCACAGTACACCCAGACGGAACTTGTCAGGGTGGACGCTAAGTATATTTGCCCTGTGAGAGAGTTTAAAACTAGAGGCGTAGATTACAGATGAGAGATCGCTGCGCAAGATGGAGATGAGGAATTGACAGTCTTTTCCATTGGCGTGTTGAATTCTCTCCCCCAGCAATCAGTGGAAGCTGGTTCACTGGACACATTTGAAAGTGAAGCAGATAAATTCTTAACCAACGGGGAAGTCGAGGGGTACTGAGGGAGGGGGCGGAGGTATTTGCAGGGCCATGAGGTTGAGGTCGCAACTGCGTCAATTATAATTTTATCAGACACCAGAGCAGACGCGAGGGCCTGAATGGCCTGCTCGTGATCAAAGAGGAAGGGATTTGCAGCCAAGCACCCTCTTCCCCTGCCCTTAAGAAGTTGAGGAGCATGGGCCCACATTCTCTGCAGAAGGGAACTATCGACAAAGGGAGGCTCACACACAGTCTGAGGGAACAACATTGACACCGAGTGTGGAAGGTGAATGGGTCACTCCAGAACAGGAGGGATAATCCCTGACAGGACCACACACACAGTCACAGCTCAGCTCACCCACATTTTCAAACCACTTACGCAGACATCACCATCCTTTCCTGCCCCGGTCAGGAAAATACCATTGCAGACGAACTGAATGCTGCTCCGGTGACTTGGTTCCCCAGATTGGAATAGCACATCTCGCGGTTTGAAACTGGGGAGCCTCGGCCACAAATCAAAACAAATTCACGGTCTCGCGGGTATCCTTACCCTCTGTGTCTCCCCATCGCCATTGCTGGGGGACAGCTACAGACCTCTCCCACTATCCCTCTCCTGAAGGTGCTGACCCTCACTGGGAGACACACACCCCACTG